TTTCTAAAACAAGCACCTATATTTTGCTTTCTTTAGAGAGTATTTTTTCGAAGAAAGTTTTTATGTGTCGGAAAAGAAAAAAAATATATATATATCCACAAGTGTCGATACGGCTTACTTGTAACTAATTGTGAGGCAAACATTTTTTTTTGGAGAGAGGCAAACATTTGATTGTAAGTAAAAGTTGGGGGATTTTAATATCTTAGAGAGGTGGTTACTGAATAATTAATTCTAGGTTTACTTTGAATTTTGATTCATTTTAGTACCTCATGCACTCTCAAAATGTACATTTTTATTCATTTACTCTCAACTTTTGTTTAATGCTTATACTTTCTTCTCGTTCCTTCTTCTATTATATGAGCTCGCTCCTATTGATTAAAGGTGGATTCTCCGCTTTCTTTTAACAAATTGATAACATGGTTTGACGAAGACAAGTATTAGATAAACAGAATATTAGACACCGTACAAAATAACAAACCAACGACAAAAACTGTTGTTTTAAAAGTATAGGGACCGACGTGAGATTTAAACCATCATCACATATATATTTTTTAACTTAATAACCAACCCAAAGATGGTGTAGCAATAGGTTGTTGAAGCTCGAAACTTCCATTTGGGCATGCAAAAAAGTTACTAAATTAGCGCACATGAGATGTTTCCAAGGCATCATATTGGTTTAGTTGGAGAGAGAAAATGACAAAGAGATTCAAAAAATATATAGAGAAAATGAATAGTGCAATGATGAACTCACAGAGAGAGAGAGAAGAAACTTTGGTTTTTGAGAAAGGAAGTTTCAGAAATATTAGAAGAAGAAGAAGAAGAAGAGGTGTGTGTTCCCCAAAAGCTCAGGCACTGAAAAAGGCAAAAACACCCTCTCAGTTTCTTCTCTCTTTTCTGCAACACTAACTAACAATATAACATATAACATTTTTTTATATTATCATCACATCCCCTATACTATATCCTATGATTTTCCATCTTCTGTCCTTCTTCTCTAATATGGAAAAGAAAAGGGGGAAGCTTTTTGAGTTTCAAACCCACCAAAGAAACATCTCTCAGTTTCTACAATACAGGACACTTTATCATCATTTTGATGCTCTGTCTCTCTCTTTCTTTCTCCATAATGGGTACAAAGTCAAGAGAGGAATCATTTATTTATTGTCAAAATGGCTTAACAATTGTGTCTCCAAACACATGGCTCTTGTGTTGTTTCAATGTGTTTTTGTTCTAAAAAAAATTGTTGGTGATTGGACTTCTTCTTGAATGTGTGTTAATGTTTTAATATATAGTTTATTTGATTGTTATGTATATTTCTAGATAAAACCAAATGGAAAACAAGGTTTAGAGCTTTCACTTTTTTGGTCAAAATACTTAGCTTGAGTCTCATCGTATTAAAATGTTTGCTTGCGGTAATTGTGACGTTTTGAAAGAATCGATGGTTAATTGCAACTAACTGAAGATGGGTTTTGAATTTGCATAATTCAAACAATCAAGCTGTAGCTTTGTCTCTGGGTATGTTTTTATGCATAATAATCTTTTACCCGACTAGATTTTTGGGGTTTGTTTTTAAAAATTTATTACATACATGAAATTAATTACTAGTTTTTTAAGAAGAGAAAGATTTGAGATTTTTAATTTGTTTTAAAGAAAAACACATCTCCCTATTTAAACATTTGCTCACTTAAAGAACAAACATTTTTATTTTGTTACCAACGGTAAATCTGAGCCAAAGTTTCAAAAACTAAAAAAGTTAGTTTTCAAAAGCATTTTTTTTTTAAGATTTTGGCTAAAAATATAAATGTATTTTTAAGAAAGGAAAAACATACCATACCAAACAAATTAATTGTAAGAAAAAATAAAGCATAACTTTCAAAACAGAAAACTAAAAACAAAATAGTTATCCAACAAGGTCTAGATGATGATGTATTTAATCCAATGTACCACTTCGTTAGTCTACCATTCCGTTAGAGATTCACTCCATTTAAATTGAACGACCCCAAAAATTAAGGTATATAGAATGGAAGAAGAACCAAAATAAAACGTGTTTTGAATCACTATATCTATTTAAAATTTTGTTTCCTTGCACAAAAAAAAAAAAATTGTGGCCAATCTGATAAGGTCAAGGCAGCTATATCAAACCAAAAGGTCGTGTTATACTAAAAAAATAGTGATTTCAATGCACAATAACGACTTCAATCATTTACGATTTTTATCATAACTCAATAATATAAGACATTTATTACCATCCCAATAGTGACCGATAGTTTAGAAAAACCCATTATTCATTCTTTACGGGTCACTCCATAACATACAACTCATAAAATTAGTCTTTTAGAAAACAAACAACAAAAAGAGGTTTGAAATTAAGGAGAATCTCAAGAGATGGGAGGTAGTTTGTGAATGAAAGTAGTGGAAGAATCTTTTGGGACACAATGCAAAAACTTGTAGTCATCAATCCAACCCAAAATGAATGAAGAGTTTGGTTGAAAAACATTGAGTTAGATTGGACACATGGTGGTGGGATTGTCATACAGAGACAGTACAATACCATACCATACCATACCAAGTCTCTTTAATTTAATTGCTCTTTGTCACTTTTTATTTGCATCATTCATATGAACAACAATTCTTTCTTGGGTCACCATCACTCATATAATATGTTTTCACTCTAATTATTTTTCTAGTGGAAAACAATATCAACTTGCACTTTTCTTTTTTCTTTTGCTTTGAAGTTTTTATATGATTTTAATTTTCTCTTTATTTGTGTGTTTTTAAAATTAGAAAATTGTTTTTTTTTTGTCCTAAAAGGATGACATATTGATGGGACGGCCTTTTTAAAACTCTCTTCTTTCTTCTATTTGTCTATTAAATTTGTCTCTCTTTAACTAATTTTAACAATGATTAGTTAGTTTTAGAGGGGTGAACAGATGATTGGAAGTATAGAAGTATAAATATTTTAATATTATATTGTTAGGTTTAAAATTTTATAAAAATACAAATTTGAATTAAAATTTTATAAAAATAACATAAATTTGAAAATTTATACAATCATGTGAGACTAATTAGAAGTCACATTTGTGACTTTGTTTTGGAAAATTTTTAAAAAATAACGATACTCTTTATAAATACATATTATGTCATTTAAATAACGATAAATGTAGTAGTTGAATAAGCCAAGGTCATGCTGACATGATATTATTATTTTTTTTCTTTCTCTCTTCTCTCCACCTCTACTTTTTTTTCCTCTCACCCATTGGTCTCCTCATTTCATTTCTTTTCTTTTCTTTTTCTCGTATTACTCATACCCGCGCATCTTGCGGAGAATTTCTCAAAAAACCTCCACCCTAGCTAGCTACATTATCATTTAACATTCATTGGCCCACTATTGACAAAACTATCCGGGCATGCACTTGAGAGTCAATGTCGGGTAGGATTGCCTAGTCATGCTTCATAATTGAAAAAATGAGCAACGTAGAAATATATGTCACTTAGCCCAAAGAAAGATGATGAAAAATTATTGGTTGAAATGGGCACTAAATACCTTTGGAGAGATCTTCTTTCTATCACTCATAGGCGAGGAGAGAGAGAAAAAGAGGAAAGAAAAAATTATTTTTTGTTTAATTATTAATTGAGTTTTYGCTAAAAATTTGTAATAGAACCATTAATTAAGATCCATTTTTTGAAGTTTTGAAACTAAATTGAATTTTAGGAACCAAATGTCTAATTACAATTTTTATATACTTCTCAAATTTTCTGCAAAAGACTTGGAGCTAAAATGAAAAAAAAAAAAAGATAATATAAATATACAGAAATATGTTGATTTGGTTAGAGGTAAATTTTTGTGGGCCAAAATGGTATTACACTTTTATTTGGGTAAAAAGAACAATGAAAATTAAAAGAGAAATTTGGATACCAAAAATCATTTGTGTTTGACAAATGGTAAAATTCCTCTTTGACCAAACCCTAAAGAAAACAAAGATTGTCATTTAGGACAATTGTGTGTAAAATCACACGTGAAACCAAAAGGTAAAAGTGAAAGTGTTCCTTAAACTTCATCTTCTAATCTTTAAATTATTTTACCTTTTAATCTGCCATCCTCTCTCGAAAAATTTTGCTGCCTCACTTTTGATCAAGTTTTTACTTAATAATTCATAAGTGGAAATTGCCATAATTTTGATGTCATTGAATTAACCATATCATCATTTAAAAAGAATATATATTTGTCTTTGTTGTTTCTGTAAGAAAATGATTGAAAAAGTTGAAAAAGACATTCACTTATTGATATGGTGAATATGAGCATTATTATACAACATTTCAATAAAGAAAAATTAACCCTTCAAAAGTATATTCCCCAAAACAACATAATTATAGATAAAAAGTGGATTGAGATTGCTCATGCACAATAAAATTTGAAAAAAAATCAATTAACTGTTGTTTTCCAAAAAATATTTTAACTCGTGTACGTAGATATAATATTCACGGCTTATATATTTTGACTAAATATTAAGAAGTACTTACACCGAAAAGAAATTTTGTGAGAATGAATTTAAATTTCATGGTAGTCATCTATTTAGAATGTTAAGAATCATCTGAAGATTTTTTAACAATCTAATATTATAAATCGTAGAGTGTCGAGCCAATGTTTTTAGAACTTTTAAAACACTTTTAAGCTAGGTAATACATCCTCATGAAAGTTTTAAAAAATACTTTTAACTTAAGTAGTTAAAAAGCACTTTCTTTCTTTTTCTTTTACCTTTTTACTTTTTGAAAATTATTTCAAAGTCACACTTAATCAAAAGGGGCTTAGCATATGCTAAAACATTCATCCAACATATACTAAAGAGGTGTTTGGTTCACAACTTTTGTATAACCTAAAGTTAAAGAAGTTAGCTCATGTTTCGATATATTTTCTATAACATATTTCTTTACAAATTCCAAACAGATTGCACTAAATTCCAACTTATTAAAACTGTAAGGAACAATACTCCCCGCGAACAGTATGGATAAAATTCTAAACGATTCCATTATAATGACTTCTAAAATGCATTACAAAAAGGAAAATTACGTACATGATCTGCAACTTCTGAGCATACAAGATAAAATACACACTTGAAAACTAGACGTATCATCAACAACTGTATTGGCTTTTACACATGCTGGCTTTGGGATAGAAAATAAAACGAATTCCCTAAAACTCATAAGAAATTTGAAAGAAACAAAGCTTCCAAATAGGATGCTTTTTCTAGCTACTGGGGGGAAGAAAAATAGGAAGGAAAACAAGGGGAAAAGATTGAAAAAAAGATGGAAAAAAAAAGAGAAAATCGAAAACCACAGATATCTAATACCTTTTCCCCAGATATATACCAATTATCACAGAGACAAGAGCTACTCCCAAAACAATCTTCAAAGAGGAGATTGAAGAAACCTCAGCAGTTTGAGTATGTGTTTCGGAAGAAGATGGTGGAGATCTAGATGTAGGTGTTGTTGTTGCCTCATCTTTGTTCTTCTTATGCTTCCTTTTTGTTGGAGCTGAAAAGCTTAATCCAATATCTCTGGATTTGATTTCGACTCCGTCCTTCGCCTCGGTAGAACTACCTCCATCAGCCTGCAACATGGTTCAAATTGAACTAAAAATAAGCGGCTGCAAGTTTTGTAACGAAATGTTGTAAAGAATTCGAGCATGGGAATCCTTATAGTTCATGTAGCTTCATAAATTCAACGTTGTGTATAATGAATAATAATGCAAGATGGTTAGAAAACTGCAGAGGATTCTTAAAGATTGTACATGAGTAGAAAGAAACCTTTTCTATTGACTTGGCCTCAGCCAGGCTGAGTTTCTGCTGGAGGTCCTTGAGTTGTGTTTCTAGAGCAAGAATTTCTTTGCCCTTCTCTTCCAGATCTTGAAGAGACCGCTTAAGTGAATCCTCTCGTTCGAACTCTTTTTGAGAATCTTTCTCTTTCTGTTGAAGACAGCGTCCTAAGAAATTAAACTAAATTGTTGATACAAACCAAGCAGTTCAACTTGATTGTAACAGCACGTGTTTGAAAATACAGAGGACTTTATTTTTCGGAGTTAAAAAAAAGATGGTGCCTTCCTTACCTGTTCAGCAATCTCCGTCTTAGCCACCTGCAAATCTTTCTGAAGTTGTTGCACTTGTTCATTTAGTTGATCTCTATCTTGGATTTTTTGTCCATAATCTTCCAATTTGGAAATCAATTCTGTTTCTTTTCCAGCCGCTGTCGCCCGAACACTTTCAACCTAAACATCATTCGCATTCAACACATACAATCATTAAAAGTTTGGCATGGTAATTAAGAGTGGAGAGCTAATGAGGGAACTCTTCACTCTTATTTCTAGCAATAATCACACTTGATATACCTCATCTTTCCGTTGAGCTTCGGATTTACTCAGCTCTTCTTCAAGTTCTTTTAGGCGAATTTTTAGACCGTTATTCTCAGCAATCTCTGCCTTGAGACTTTCAATTTCAGATCTCAATGCATCTTCAAGTTTGCTCTGTTCTTTCAATTTTCCTTCCAGCTGTAATATCTCTGACTGAAATTCATTTTTGGTCTTCTGGTATGTTTCATTGAGCACGTTGTTGTCTTCCATAATTGAAGCAATCTGTAAACGTGAGAAAGTTAGTTCCATTATATGATAATAAAATTTTAATTGATAGCACCACTTAATTGAAAACTAAACTTTTCTGCAAACCTGAGACTGTAGCCTCTGTTCTTCAGAAACCACCTGCGATTTCAACTTATGTACAGTCTTCTCTGCGGTCTGAAGCCGTTCTGAAGTTTCATCCCTTTCGGCATTTGCAGCAGATAACTTGGTTTGGAGATCACTCAAACTAGATTCATGTGAGGCTAATTCCTGAGCAAGTTTCAAATTTGCTTCATTTAACCCTGCATTCTCCTTTTCAGCATTAACTGCCTTGGTTTGCAGATCCTCTAATATGCTTTCTAGATCCTTCACTTTCAAAATACTCTCTCCGAGCTGAGTCTTATGAGCTTCAGCATCAGTAGAAGCTTCCAGAGCCTTTGCTTCAACCAATTTTATCTCACCCTCTGCTGTCTGAAGCCGTTCAGCAGTTGCATCCCTTTCAACGTTTGCGGCGGATAACTTGGCCTGAAGATCGCTCAAACTAGATTCATATGAGGCTAATTCCTGAGTAAGCCTCAACTTCACTTCATTTAACCCTGCATTCTCCTTTTCAGCATCAATTGTCTTGGTTTGCAACTCTCCTACCAAGCTTTCTAAATGCGTTACTTTCAAAAGAGTCTCTTCGAGTTGACTCTTACGAGCTTCAGCGTCTGTAGAAGCGTCCAGAGCCTTCGCTTCCATCAATTTTATCTGGTCCTCTGCTGCCTTTAGTTTCTCACTCAAGCCCTTAGCCTCTGAATCTTTCTGGTCGAACTTTTGAATGGCTTCCTGCAATTTCAGATCTATCTCCACTTGACGGGCTTCAGTTACAGACTGGAACTCGATGGCTCTTGAGTGCTTTTCGGTTAATTCAGCAATAGAACTCTTATGAGAAGCCAGCTCCTGATGAGCAGTTTCCTTTTCAGAAAGAGTAGAGCTCAATAACTCCTGAAGTTCATTAACCTTGCTTTTGAGTTGAATGTTTGTATCTACTAATAGTTCATTCTCTGAAGAAATCTGAGAAACTTTGTTTTCAACTTCCGAAATATATTTTTGGAGTTCACCATTTGTACCCTCCAAAGAAGTTAATTTTGTCAAAGTCTGATCCAATTCTTCCTTTAAAGCTGCAGATCTCCCATTGGATTCAGATATCTGATCCTCATAAGCTTTTATTTGTTCTTCAAGAACTTTAATTTTCTCCAACAGAGAGTTCGCTTCAGATTCTTTGTCAGTGAACTTTCCTACTGCTTCTAGTATTTTAGTTTCTGAATCCTTAGCTAATGACTCATGTAACGACTGAAGTTCTGAGTTTCTTGCAGTAGCTTGCTCAATTATTCTTACTTGGTGTTCAAGTTTCTCCTCTGCAGATTTCAGCTTTTCCAATACCTCAGTCTCTCTGATACCAGTAGCCTGGAGATCGCTCTCGATGCTTTCAAGTTTCTTCTGAGTGATGTTCAGATCGTTCCTTATAACTTCCACCAAATTTTCTGATTCAGCCAGCTGACCGTTGGATAAGTTCAATGCATCTTCCAATTTTTTCTTCTCTTCTGTTACCATATCCAGCGATTCAACTAATTCCTTTTCCTTTCCATTGGCAACATGCAACGCAGTTTCAAGGTTTTCTACCTTTTCTTCATATGCCTTGATTTGAGATGCCAGGACAGCTACCTGGTCAAAATTTTTCTTGGTTTCTGCTTCAGCATCCCCGCATTTCTTTTCTAGAGTACTTATTTGTTCTTCGAGTTCTTGAATTCTGTACTTTTCTGCTTCAAGCAACAACTCCAACTCACTCGCCCTTTTATCTGAAACTTCAATTTTGTTATGAGATGTCTGGATCAGTTCTTCAAGTTCAAGGCCACGTTGATGATTCATGTTTGCTCGTTCCTCATGTTCAGAACATTTCCCAATTGTGGTTTTCAATTCCTTCTCAAGCTCTTGATGCTGCAACGTTGACTGCTGTATTGCAGATTCCAGTTGCAATACCTTATCCTGATATTCCTGCTTTTGCTCATTCAGCTGCTTCTTTTCTTGCTCAACATCTATCAACGTAGTACTCAGTTCTTTAATTTTCTCAGATAATTCATTCACTTCCCTCTCAGCATCACTGTTTTTCAATTGTAACAAATTGAGCTGTTGTTCAAGCTCCACATTCTTTTGTTCTGCTGCTATAAACCGAGTCTCAAGTTCTCTTAATTGTGATTTTGCATCTTCCGCTGTAGCAGTTGAAGCTTGGACAATTTCCTCAAGTTCAAGATTCTTCTGAGTGGCAGTTTCAGCCACAACTCCAGTTTCATTATGGAGATCCTCCAAACTCTTCAACTTCTGTTCCAGCTCCTTATTGTTGGACAGAGCTTGAGACAAAAGAGAATCAGCTTTTCCAAAATTCTCATCTGAAAGCTTCAGTTTTTCCTCAAGATCGTTGCATAAATCTTTCAATTGTTTTGCATTGCTAGAGAGATCTGCTACAGTCACTTCAAGCTCTTCTTTATTTTTGATAGCTGCAGCAAGTTCCTTTTGAATAGTCGAGACTTGTGCCTCCTGAGCTTTGAAAGCAGACTCCGCAGATTCTTTTTGGTTGATCTCTTCCTGGAGCTTCAATCTGATTTCTTCCAATTCAGAATCCTTTACACGAAGATCCTCTTTTGTTGAAGCAAACTGGTTTTCAACGGCTGAAATATCTTCCTTGATCTTAGACTCTGAAGCCTTTCGGACATCCAGATCCTGAGTCAGTTCTTCAACTAAAGCTTCCTTCGAAGAAAGTTTCTTCTCCAATTCAAGCACTTGAGATTTGGAAAGCGATAGATCACCCTGGACTGCCGAAAGCTCAGTTGACGTAGTTCTAAGTGCTTCTTCCACCTTTTGGCTTTCGGCGATCTTGTCATTTAAGTCCTTGATTTTTTCTTGCAGGGAAGAGATTTGATCTTCCCTTTCCTTTGCACTCAGTTTTTCTGATTCAAGAAGCCTCTCAAACTCCAATGCTTTCTTTGACTCAGATTCAGCATTCAAGCCACTTTGTTTATGAAGTTCTTCAAATTTCAGTGCTTCATCTCCAGAGATCTTCAGTTTTTGTTCCAACTCCTGAATCTGCTTCCGCGAATTCTCAAAATCATGGCTCAAACTATCAAATGCTTCTTTCACCGCTATCAATTCCTTGTTTTTAGCTTCTTGAGCTTGCAATGCCTGTTGCAAACTGCTGACCTGCGAACTGTATTTCTCTTCAGATTCAACGATCTGCTCTTTCGATTTCTTATGGTTGAGTTCAACCTCTTCGTACTTCTTTTCACTTTCCTCAAGCTTCTGATTTGTGAGTGATACCTCACTCTGCAGCTTTGAATTCTCAGACTCTAAATTCTTCAAACTCCCAGCTAATCTCTCAATTTCAAGCTCAAGATCTCTCGACTTCTCTTGGGCCTCCAGTAATTCTCTGCTTGAATTGCTTGAACTTCTTTCAACAATAGTTGGTTTATCCTCCTCTGCGGCTGCTGTTTTGGCTGGATGAGGAGTATCCTTCGCCTCCAGAGGCTCCTTTTCTACTTTTATGAACTCCCCATCCAGAGCATTTTCCTCCTCTTCATTCTTACCTTCTTTGCCAACTTGAGTTACATCCCCATTAGTTACCTGTTACAAGATAACTTTAAGAATTAATAACTGTCATTTTTGTATCATAGTTAGTGGACCTAATAATTGTATTCATCCAAGCAGCTCCAACACCAGATGGCATGCTATGCTTTGGATAGAAAAGAAAAACAAAACTAAAGGAATTCGTTTGCCCTCTCTCCAATTAGGCGATGTTTTAAACCACGCCAGATAGAGAACCATTTCAAAATAATAGATATACACTTTGTCAAATAACTTGATCACGATAGGAACGCAAAGATATTCTTCAAGTGTCAGTTATACGAGATATTCATAAAAAATACATGAAAAACTAAATGGAGATATAGATATCTGAACGTGGAGACTCCAGTCTCTAGCATTTGTTCAATACAATATGAAAGTGAACATGCTTATAAATGAAGAAGTGCATCCTATGAGCTTATATATATCTTGATAAATTCTTTATTCTGCTTCAGTCAACAAGTTCAAACCAAAATGGAAGCTATTAAAATAACACAAGTGAAGGCATGCCTGACCTTATCACCAACGACATCATTTCCAGAATCCTCAACCACCTTCGTAACTGGGGCTTCCGAACTCTGAGGTGCGACCTCCATAGATGGCACTATTCAACTTTACCTGCAACATAAATTTAAACAACCATAAAAAAAAAAAAAGGTCAATTAGTCACCAGATAACTAGGAGAAAAATTGTGCTTATACGCACTTTCTTTCAGTTATATCCTGCACTTCTGAGCAGGCCCTATGCCCAGTTCTCCAAAAAACTCTCTATAATCAAGTACTCTGATTTATTTCAACTCGTATTGGAATAAGAAAACCCATCAATCAGTACTTCCAGAAACAAGGGATTTGAAAGCCTTGTTCTAATGGTTGTTACCCAGTACCAGCCTTGTGAAGATCCAACATAGCCCTCTGAATTTTCCAGTATACAAGAACTAAGATACCTCGAAAGCTAGATTGAAAGGATTGTACAAAGTTAGACATGAAACGAAGATGGTGCGTCCGGCAAAAACCAAAGAAGTACTACCTATACCACCACTAAAAATGCTCTTTCTGCATTTCTCTCTCTTAAAATTTTAATGGTGATGAAAATCAGTCAAACACTAAGTATGGTTCAAACCAAAAACTCACACTTTTCCTCAATCTATAGGATTCATCAACACCTTCACCAGCACGCCCAACTCCCACTTAGTTTTACTGGTCAACTCTCTCTCTTTCTCTTCTTGTTCGATTCGGCTGGGACAAAATTTAAAAGGAGAGGATGAAGGTGACAAAACTGGCACTTCCCTCGGAACTTGATTCCACAATATTGGATTAGAATTTAGATCCATCGAATTTATCTTGAAATTTATAAACTAATTTATTTAAAGATATAAAATGTAACCAACACAGCTAGATCTCTGTTCTTTCTCTACATTTTCTAATAATTCATTTTTTGATCGCGGCGCTACGTGGCAGGTTTCTTGAACATGCAAATTAGCGACAAAAAGTACTACACTAATTCAAATATTACTTTACCTTGTTCTTTTAGCATGTCTCTTTGCACTGTTTGCATTGGATTCTTAATTAGAATGGATGCAAAAGTTGGTCATATTTTAAAGAAGAGATTGAGTATGATTCTAGTAAAGAGAAAGTGGGTTCTGAAATTTCAGCCTTAATTGATTATAATTGGACCGTTGTCACTTACTAGGCGGCTGAAATTTAAAACCTCATCACTAATTTATGTTTCTGTGTCTATCCAATAATTATTATGAATACTATAACTGATGCGATCATTATTACAGGTTATATCATCTCCTCCAACTAATATTCTAAGTTATTTTCTAATTGTCATTTTAAGAAAAGAAGTCCTACTCCTTGTAGGCTACGTATTTTCTATAATTAAAAAAAAAAGAACTATCGACTAAAATTGCGCATTTCTCTTTTCAGTATTTCTTTAAGAAACAACTACTACCTACAAAAGAAACCTACTTTCAAAAAACAAAATAATGATAACAATAAATTCAAATTCATGTAGTTTGCCACTTTTATTATTTTAACTTGTGTAGTTCCATTCGCCTCAGTTTTAATTCCTATACTATATAAATATAACAATTTAATCTATTTTTTTTACGAGAAAATAATTGTACTTACGAAACTAATTGTTATTTTGTCAAGAAACTATATATTCGAATTGATATTTAATCTAATATTATTATATCCATGTTAATAAATAAAATTAATATGACATGATGTAGAACATAATATAATACTATCTCAACTTTCCACATACATGCAATCATAACAAGTACCTAAATAACGAGACAAAAGGATGATATCAAATTTATAAACACATTTCTTTAGTTTACAAAAATAACAAAACTTTAAAAAGGAAACTCATATTTATCCTCTTACCTAGTTACCTATCATATTTTCCCCCACAATATATTATTTTATTATGTCACTTATTAAATATTTTGTAAAACTTTATAGTCTTATCACCAAAAAGCAAAGAAACAGGACATGCTTCGCACTAAGGTCATCAATGAGAGGAAAAACGTGTGTAGACTAGATGCCAATACATGCAAAGCAACAAAGAAGGGGATCAAATTTTCTTTTTTCATTTTTTTAAAGTTATTAAAAGATTCTAGAACCATTCAACAACTAAGCCATTTAATAAATAAATAAATAAACTAAGACTCACAGTATTTATGTTTTTAGGAGCAATATAAATTATAAAACAAAAATAATTTCCAACCTAGCAGTTGGGCCCCAGACGCATTGTTTTTTGTGCAAAACAAGCTTTCAATTAAAGTTGAAGCTGAGTCAGGACCGTTTGTTGCGGATGGGCCCATTAGATTTGCCAGGCAAACCCAGACGAGGCGCGTTATCTTCAGAATTTTACCACAAATATCGGAATAAACCTATGTATAGTAGATCAGATCACAGGGTTGGAAATGTACATTTGTTTTGTAGAGTGGGTGGTCCCCACCACGACGACAGCCTATAGCCGGTTTGCCGGTTGCCGATAGGCGATAGGCACCAGCCGCACACTACCAGTTTGGACAGCTCAATCAACGCCGTCCAAATCATTCACCTTTTTTTTTTAATTTTTTTCCTTATTTTTCCCATTCTTTTTATAATTCTCCCCCAAAATTACGACTCGGTCCTTGGCTACTTTGTAAAATTACGTACTTTACAGAAGGGTAAGCATGGCATTTCGGTATTCGAGAGGGGAAAAAAGGCGAGGGCTTTGTCAAATGATCGAGCATAATGGCATCTTTTATTTACTGATTCCACCATTTCTTTACTGGCTGTAAAATTTTATCCAACCTTCTTTTTTTTTCCCTCTTTCCAGTTAGTTTAATTTAATTAAATAATATTTCACCATTCAATTCGATATTCAGCAAGGAATATTGGGGGAAATTTTGAAATTACATTTATCTGACGTGGTAAATCCACGTCATCTTCTAAGTATTTTAATTAGATGCCACGTGCATATGCCAGCAATTTAATTTAAATTCTTCTAATGTTTTAGCTTCTACCTAAACTTTTTTATATGCAGTAGTAGATCATACAGTGAAAGCAGCCAAAAAGAAGGTGTGGACTGTGGAGGGACGGAATTGGGCGAATAAACTCATAGTTTCTGGACTTTTCATCTTTAGAGATCTAAAAATGGAGATGGAATATTTCACGATAAAACTACTAAAATATAATTAAAAAATCAAATCAGCTGTTTAGGAGGAATGATTCTCTTTACGTCACTGAATTTTTCGTAACAAAGAATCGGCAAATATAATCCTAGTCCTTAGATCAAAGGTCAAATCGATGATTTGGTGAAGAGTAAAGGCAAAAAGAAAATCTCATGATCTGAAATTCTAACTTGTTACTTAAGAAAGGAATGAATAATCTGACGCTGAATTCATCGGCATAAATAGGTTGACTTAACAGTTAAACACACCGAGACGACGATACTGCAATAATTTTCCATTCAGCAAATTAGGGAATTCAAAGAGAAATGAAGCACGAACACAGAGTGATCAGAAGAAACCACGAGTCGCAGTATTATTGAATGCGAGATTGAAAATGAGATCCAATCGCCGTAAAAATCAGAAAATAAGTGGAGAATGACAGAGAATATGAAGAACATCGACGAGATGCGCCCGGTTCAACATCAATCAATCGACTAATACGGAGATCAAGTGCAAAGAATATAGCAGAATAAAATCGGATTCAACAAAACGACTCTAATGATAAAATTAAATAAATAAATAAACGATCGAGACTGAATTAGCAGTTGCAGAAAACAGTGTTGGACAGCCAGCAGAAGTCAAGCAAGATAACAGATAGAGAGAGAAAGAGAGAGAGAGAGAGAATTGAAATCACCTGAAATTTTTGTTCGGCGGTAGCGTTTTCAATACGTTTTCTGCGGTTTCTGACGCCGTGGAAAATGGGGGGACGGCGGAGATGCCGATCAAGGAGGGTGGTTAGAGAGAGAGAGAGAGGAGATTCTTCTGTAAATGAGTTTTTTTGAATGTCTACTTGAATTGTTAATATAAATATAAATATATTTTTATTATTGATGTGGGACCCATCTGGTGGGGTCCACAACAGCAATGAGGACGGAGAATAGCCATAGGTCCAATTACAGCAGCCGCGTTGGATATTTCATCCGCATCTGCCCTTAAATTTTAGTTATATTACCAACCGTACCATGCACCTATCGCACTAATTTTATTTTTAGGTTAATTACACTTTTAACCCTTGTACTTGTAATCTTCTTTTTATTTTAGTTTAGTAAGAAAAAAAAAGAATGTGGATCTCTATTTTATACCGTTCAACTATAAGAACTTCAAAATTAAACGTGCTTGGTTTAGAACAATTTGCATGTAAGTGAGGACGAAGCATGAGTGACTTTGGAAAAATCCAAAATAAAATCCAAAATTACTTTTAAGTATTTTTGGATTAATTACTTGGAGGTGATTTTGATCCAATAATATTTAGTCACAAAAATTAATAGGAAATTAGTTTTTAAAAAAGGGTGTTGTTTTAAATTTCAAATATGTCTTTCTATTTCATCCCATTTTTACCTTAAATTTTTTGAAATCTTATTTTTTCCTTTATGAATTTTTGTCACTCTCAAATTTTATTTATCAATTTGGTTTGTTATCTCTGAATTTTTTTTCTCTAAAATTTTCAAGGTCTCTCATTTGTAGAAAGTCCATGTTTCTTTTTAAGTTTATTTATTTGTCTTTGATTCTATTTATTTGTCTTTGATTCTGCAAAATTATTGAGATTGATTATTTAGTTACATATATCATATTTTTTTTCATCATCATTACTTAATAAATGACGTTAAATAAATTTTCAAATACGTGTTATTAATTTGGTAATTTTAAAATCATTTTTGAAATCAAATATTAATCATTCAAAATCTTTTTTTAGTACAATAATGTGTGGGGTGAGACATCGAAATCACAATTTTTTAATTGAATATATATGCCAATTATTATAGCTGAACTATGTTCGTTTGGCTTCAAAAATCATTTTTAATTATATGTAAATTACTTGAAAAAATAAATGCCAAAATGATTATATAAAAACCACTCTAATCACTTGTTTTCCAAAATTATTCCATCAGTGTGTTTTTATTACATTTAAATTTGAGTTGATTTGAAATAAATTGTGTAATTTTTGTAAAG